AAGTAATCTCTTCTTAAAACCAGCATGTTTGACTTATTTTAAGCCTTCCAAACACCTCTGTAGACATGCTTATTTCCAGATTTAACAATCTTAATTTAAGAAATCTTGTCAAGTGAAATTATCTTGCTGCATGGACAGATAATTTCACTTGTTTTGAGTACATTTTCCCTCAGATTTAGTGTTTTTATCTTGTTTTTAGACCCCCCTTTTTTGCAGTGTAGGTATCACTTCCTCCGAGGGGGGCCTCTGGTAGCACAGTGATTTTGAAGAGTGCAGCCAAGAACACAGCTGCTCCACCCAACCTCACACTGCTCCATCAGAGGCTGAGCAGTGACTAGTTGTTGTGGGGCAGAGGCTACGAAGCATGCATGTGCGTCTGTGCCTCTCACCATCTGCATATCAGAGAATCTTCGATGCTCTGCCCGTCACGTCTTCAGACTAAGTGCACAACAAGGTTTCCATTGCTGCGCAGCTGGACTCAGAGTTGGACCTCGTGCACGACAAACCTAACGTCTACTGAAGGGAAACCATAGGGGAAACATCTGTATTTTTTTAAGATCAAAAAGAGATGGGAACCTCAAGGCAGCAATGCAATGAAGACTTTATTAACTGTGTACTTAAATACTTCCTGAACAAAACTAGGAGTATTGTTTCTGTTACACTTTTATTTTGCATGAATATTACATCTGTATTTAAGCACATACAAAAATGTTCAGTCCATGGCTGAGAGTGTAAAGCATATAGAGGCAGAGGGATCCACCTCCTCAGCTGCTATTCCACTGACATTCTTCCCATTCCTATCAGCATCCCACTGGGCGTTTTTAACCAGCCAGTCAAAGTCCATCTTCCACTGTTTTTCTGTGATAAGAACATAGACGGGTCAATGCAAAGTAGCAGTATGTAGGTCAGAGGTCAGACTGGATACTGTATTGAAGCACATTTTTACCCTTCCACATTTCGATTCTCTGATTTTTCTGCATTTTATTTTTCTCACAAATGACTGTAGTCAGCTCCTCTATGGTTTTTTCTTACTTTTTGATAGGATGCTGTTTCTGGGGAAGGTTTAGTCTCTATCCTAATTATTTTGACATTAGACTGTAATATAGCAGCACTGCAGAGGGAGAACATCTGGTTTGATTCAACACTCACCTGCGTCTGCACTGAATAGGACCTCAGAACATCCAGCCGTGCTTTTTGTCACTTGTGGTACCGCTAGACTATTGTTTTATTGTTTGTCATGATTGGACAGATGAAAGAGAAGTGTAGGATACTCAGGACTGCCACCACGGCTCAGTTCCCTCCTCCTGGACATCATTACCACTACAAAGCTTTTGCCACTCCAATCGTGTGAGGCCAGAGAAAATCAAACAGCATGAAATTCAGAACTCCTGGTTATTGTCTGCTTTGTATATTAAATGAAAAATGCGTTTTAATATGGTACATTTTGTTTTTATTATCCATCCAGCGTGGAGGACAAATAGCGTATGATTGTTTTGTTTTTTTATTTTAAGGAAGAATGTCAAAACCACAACAGAAAAACAGCAGCATAGTCATGGAGCTAAAATTATTCTTTGGCTTACATTGTGGTGTTAATCTGTGGCTTCTCGAGCTCCTAAACACATTCATATCACCAAAGAATGTTGTTTTTCTCCGGAAGATACAAAGGAACTGTGTTTGTCATGTTATGTTTTGACTCAGCTGTACTCCTGTCATGTGGTCACTTCAGTCCCTGGGCAACGAGCTGACAACTGGCTCACTGTAGGTTTGCATGTCTATCTAGCCCTGTTATCATATATTTCTTCTTTTTTATATTTCCCCTCTTTTTCCCGCTGACTGTATAATTGCTGGATTCCACAACAAAGACTCATTAAGCAAGTAACACATGTAACGCTGCAGTACTTGAATGAGGTGTTCGTAAAAAAAGAAATTACACTTATTTTGGGGATTAGGGTAATGGGGCTTTCACACCTACCTTCTTCAGTCTGGACTTTTGAACTTTCCCATTTAGTTCAAACCAAAATAACAAAGGTGTGAAAGGTGCCTTGGTCTATGGTGTGGACCGATGGACCAAAATTGCGCTCTGTATAAATTGATGTTCAAATAGACAGATTGTAATAATAATCCTCTTTGCTCACTTACTGAGACAAAATTTCAATCGAAGGACTATATTGTATTACTGATCACATTGAGCAGAATCACTTTTAAAAGCCTTTTTTTCTTAATTAGAATCAAATTAAAATAGTTGGCACAATTGACAAAAAACCTGTATGAATGATTTGCTATTTAGTTTATTTTTACCCATAAGGCTTAGCTCCAGCATCATTTGTCTGATGCTGACCAGTGTGTGGTGTCACACAAACATTAGGACATCTGTCGTGTGACTTCCTCACTGTGTCCCTATAACCTGGAGTTATGAACCAGCGCCCCAGTTTGTGAAAGGCACGCACTGCTCTTTAGCACCTTGGTGGTGTAATTACTCACTTGTTTGGTTTAGTAAGTCCTTAACTCTTCCTGCTTACTCATTCATGTTGTCAATTCTGTCAGACCAGAAAAAAAAAATTAAAGTCTGAACATATGGTGCAAGGTTTCATATCGGGGAGAGGTACAGGGCACGGAGGTGTCACTATCAGGACCAGCTTTCTTGCAAAATATATGAAGTCATACAGCTCAACGCTAATTGTGCCTAGTGTTGTATTTTCAGCTGTGAATTCAGTGTGGTTGGAATTTTGAAAGGACATTGCATAGCTCTTACCCGCGGACATCAAAAGGAAAACATTTAGTACGTCACCATTAGTCGATTATGACCCAGCTATGGAGCTTCACTCAAAACAGATTAAACAAGGCCTCTCTTTAACCTCATCTTCAGAAGATGAAGGGGAGAGGATGAACACAGAAAGGGGTTCTGGAGGCATAATAGCCCCCAAGAGTGTTGCCATGTGTGCATGGCCTTGTCTGGCTGTCGTCCCATTGAAGCGACAGCAGTTGCCCTTGGGCTGCCAGGGGCCATAGCTCAGGCCTCCTCAAGAAAAAAAAAGAGGTCCAGTAGAGATGAAGACTCCTGCATGTGAAGGAGTGATGTCTGGTATAAGTGGAAGGACGATTCCCCCAAGGCTGGAGTCTGTGTTACCCTCAGTGGAGAGAGGAAGGAGGATGACAGCCATTATTGGCACAGGGAGAGTCACTCACCTTTGATCCCCCAGTGGAAGTATCACTCCCATCTTCACAGCTGTGTTTGCCCCTCGCCCTCCTCCTCTTACCACTCTCTGTCTCTGCTCGAACACAAAACACTAGCAGTGTGTTCCCTTTCTCCACTTACACCCTCTATAAATACGCACATGGCATCTTCGTACTTCAGGAGTACATGCTCAAGATGCAACAGAAGCAGTCCCTTTGTATGGCCTTGTTGTCTCTGGTTACATCGCATTCATCACCCTCATCTGATATTATTGAAATGAGATTTTGAATTGTTTTAATACCAAGATTCATCCTTTATCACAAAATGTACAGTATTGGTTTCCCAGTTAAAATTTTGATTGTGGTTCTGGGGTTTGATTATTTGAGTGGGGTCCTTGAGTTCGGACTCCGTGGGGTATTGAAATCTGACGTAGGATAATTTGAAGGAACAGTAGTTTGTATGAGACTTTGTGTACTTGCCACAGAGTGTGCATTAAGCCATGCTTGGACATAAGGCTGATGAGACCAAAAGTTAGTGGTAGACTTTGAAGTAAAGTTAGCTCAAAGAAGCATTGTGTGTAAGAAGTGAGATTGTGACACAGCCTTTTCCGCACATGTATCTATGCATACACTAGTGGTGTTAGTGTGTTTGACTGACATTAGCTGTGACGCACACTAACAAACAGCTGCATTGTGCCACCACGGTGGCACAGTGAGATTCCCAAAGCAGAGACTTGACAAAAAATTCTACTTTTCCTGCAGCATAAACATTACACACTTTCATACTGAATGGCTTCCCATGCAACTGCCTATCGCTGGTACAATACTTAATTATATGCAAATAGTATTATTCTAGAGTTTCTATTCTACTGCTATTCTAATGATTACCCTGAAACCATAGCCTGCCTGATAACTGCTGTGAGGTGCACCTGATAAACCTGATGAATATTTATTTTTTTAATTTGTTCATCTCCCAAATACAATCAATGATTTCATTGTAACAGAGTAAATTATTAGTTAAATATTCCACTATCAACCATACCCTAAAAATGTGAAAAAACAGATTGCCATCCTGTTTGCATTATCTTCTCCTTGTGTCGCCCTGCCTCTGTATACACAGCTTTTTCTTGGATGTGTTTCTAATTGTGTGTGTATCCACTGTGTGTATGTTTTTTTTTTTTTCAGACACACATATCCAGATTACCACCCGGGACTGTTCCTGGACAATCTTTGGCCATCGAGGGAGGTGTGTGCCGACTGATGAGCGTAGTGGAGTGAGCCACATCCGCCCTCCTGGGCTTCTTCAGCAATACTCCAAAACATACCCTTTACACACACACACACACACACACACACACACACACACACACACACACACACACACACACMCCACCCTCACCCCCACCGCCTTAGCTGTTTTAACTAGAGCATGACCGATACTGGATATTAAGACTGATACAGATGTTTTTGGGAGCAAAAATATTCTTATATCAACTAAAATTCATATTCTGTACACACTGTTATAGGTTGTTGGTCCATTTGGAGATGATGTGTTTTTCTGTGTTATTGTTTCTCTTCACCTGCCCAAAAAGTACATATGCTATACACTGAATATATACAGTAGGGCGAGTGTGCGTTCCTTGCTTGACAAATGAACGCTTGTCTGAGTACTGCGAAGAGAGGAAGAGACAGAGAGAGCGAGCAACACTCCTCTTTTATGTTACTATGAGAAGTGTTCACATTTTTCAGATCACTATTACTAAATTTTCCCAAGCATCTTTTTCCGCATTAAGTTTTATTTTAAATATCAGATTCCCTTTATGCCAGTATATCTGTGAGAGGCGGATATCAGCTAATGAAATCAGTTGACTTATCGGTCGGGCTCTAGTTTTAACAGGTGTCCAGAAAGGAGGGAGGGGGGTTAGCTTCTATTTAGTGCACTTACAGGACTTCCCTTTGCCACTGTCTGCCTCCAGCATGTACTCTATGCCAACTTACTCCCAGGCTCTTCAGTGTCACCTGGATGAGACTTGATGCACCATTTCTTTCTTTGTTACTCTTTTCCAACTAAAAGCGACGTCCTTCCTTTTGTATATAAGCTACGATGATTTAGGAAAACAGGGTGGATGTTCATTTTATTTTGTATCGCTGAGCAGATGTGACTATTTTCAAAAGAAAGATTGTATTTTGTTCTCAAAATACTTTTCATGGTTAAAAAGGCGGCAGGTGGTGGAATGCCTGCGACGCAAAACAGTTGTTATGAATGAAGCATTTGTAGCTGCGACAGTTAACCAATGACGATAACAGCATTTTTACAATGTTAACATGTACAGACCAGCTTCCATGTACTCGTGAAGGCATATTGTTATTAATCCTGCAGCTTTACTCCATACTGTAGCATAATGTGCATCTTAGATCATGATGAGTTTTATAACATTTTCAGCCGTTGAATGCTTTGCTTTGATTGTTTTAAAATGTGAATGCAGAAGTATAGCATGTATGGATTCTACAGTACGCAACTGAGGCAGATGAAGAAGCAGGAA